TCTGTATTGGGCGGAAGTCGGAGACAGGAAACTATTAGGCCCCGAGATCGTGCAAATCACAAGAGAGAAAATCCAACTCATTCAACAGCGAATTCGTACTACTCAGAGCTACTAGAAAAGCTATATAGATACACGAAATGGGACTTGGAATTTCAAATAGTAGATCACGTGTTCTTAAAGATCTCACCAACAAGAAAAGTTATCCAATTTGGAAAGCGAGGAAAGTTAAACCCATGTTAGAAAGCGAGGAAAGTTAAACCCATGTTACATCGGGCCATTCAAGATACTGGAAAGGATTGGTCCAGTGGTATATTGCCTTGCCCTGCCACCTGAACTGTCTAATGTCCACAATGTGTTTCACGTTTTGATGCTTCGTTAATATCTTCGAGATCTAGAGCATGTCGTGGAGTATGAGGACCTAAAGGTTCAAGAAGATCTCTCGTATGAAGAACAACCAGTGCAGATTCTCGACCATTGTAATCAGGTTCTCCGAAATAAGATTATACCTCTGGTAAAAGTCCTGTGGAGAAATCATTGAGTCAAAGAAGCTACGTGGGAAATGGAAAGTCAAATGTGAGCCAAACACCCATACCTTTTCGAAAACTAAGGTACGTCAAGTTTAAGGACAACCTTCTATTTAGGATGAGAGAAATGTGACACCCTAAATATTTAATTAATACCACAACCAACCACGATTAATAATAATAATAATAATAATCTGTAATAGTAAATAACAATGGAAATAATAAAATAAATAAGCTATACGTGCTATGTAAATCAATTTGCCATTGTGGTTATCAAATATATGATGAAGAAATTTATTTAGCGGTTAAGTTAATCACCAATTAATGTGAGAAGATTGGCATGTATAAATTTAGTTAAGCAAATTAAGTACCATTAATTATGAAGATTTGCAAATATGCTGAGAAGAAGAAATAGGAGCCATTTGGGCCACCTAAGATTAGGGAGGGAAGGTAATTTATCACCTTAGGGCCATTAGGTGGGATGAGTCATCACCTAGTTATGTGTATAAAAAGGGAGGAGGTGCTGTGAAGTGAGTACAAACGGAAAAACAAAGAATAAAAAGGAAAAAGAAAAAGAAAGAATTAGCAAAAAAAAGAGAGCAAGGGAAGGGCAAAAACCAACGAAAATAGGAAGGAATTAGTAAGACTCAATATTAAGGTGAATTATATTATACCTTCAGTCACCATAATATATTTTACGTATCTTGTGAATTATCATAACTTATTTTACAAGTTATGTTTTATAACTTATATTTATATTTCAATTACGTTAATTATTTTCGAAACTCCATTTGCTTAAATTGAAATTCATGGATATGTTTGCTTAAATTTTAGAAATTATTTGACAATAATTCTGTAAACAATTATTTTCTGTAAATACCACCACAGGAGTCTCATGCCTTGGGGGACTTAAATAACCATTGGCCTCTGTTTGGCCACTTTATGGTCCTCTGTTTGTCATGGATTCATTGACTTTTGTTCTAACTGTCACTCATGTGACCTCTGTTCTGTTCTGTTCTGTTCTGTACCGTGGTTATGGTTATTTATTTACATAATTTATGTATTTCAATTTCTGTCACTTTAAATAATTTGTTTATTCAAATTAAGTTCTGTTATTATTTTATCAATGGTTATTTTGTATTCCCTATACTATTGGCATAATATTTCTCACTCTGCTGTATGCTTATAATTGTTACCATTTCAGGTGATGAAATGTAAGGAAAACCCGTAACCTCGTGTAGTGGAACCTGCACAAGAATTTGATGCTGATTCATTATTTTGTTTTTTTTTCTCCCTTTTGTTTCTACTAAGGGTTGGTCACTGAATAATAAAATAATAAAAGCCCTATAATGTATTTTCTTTTGTCAAAATGGTAGAATGAAGTAAATTTTCCATTTTGCATGCACCTGCACCATTTAACTTGTTACGATTAAAATTATTTAGTAAGTTGCGATTCTAACCCTAAGTCTTAGGATTGGGTTGTGACATAAATAATATTTGTTAAATATTTTTTTTATTCGTACAACATTATTATTACATACTCAAAGTTTGTATCCAATTTTTTTTTTTAATTTGAAATATTTAAATCATTTTTTATATTTTTTTTAAATGTGATCTATATCATATCAAATTCATATTTATAGCAAACATTAAAATTATAATACCTTATTTATTTAAAAATTATAATTACATATTATTTCTCTCATTTTTAAGAAACCATCAACGATTGTAAAAGACTAATTAAATAGATTATACATTTTTTATTACTATCACTTTTTATTAGAAAGTACCATATTTTCATGATAATAAAATTTATTTTTATTTTAGTTAAGAAAGGAGAATAATATTAAACTATTTATTTTTAGAGAAATTCAGTCTAACATCACTCTCCAACTTTTAATAATGGGAGAGGTCTACAATTTTTCTTTTTGTAGTTTAAGGTCCCTTAGCCATATCATCTCTCTCTCTCTCTTTGTGTGCATATATACAATCTTCATCTCTCTCTCTACCGAGATTGTGCCATTGATCAACAACTATGTTTGTGCAGTCAGTGCCTCAACTTCTCTACTCCAATGGCTAGTCTCTCAAACCTCCTTTTTATTCTTCTTCAATTTTTGCCTTCAACAGAGGTCATCTTTTGTTCGTCGATTTCGTCGGTCTCTGCTACAACTTCTCAAAGCGAACTCGACGGAACAGACTCAGAGCTTTTTCGAGTAGTTAGTGGTTATACAGTTTACCTTCTACTAAGAACTGGTCTTCAATCAAAGCTTTGATTTGATTTTTATGCTTGGATGGTGTGATAATGTAGTTTAACAATATTTCTATTTTCTATGCTTTGTGTTGGATTTTTAATCAATTTTCTTTGGTTGAGTCAAAACACAATTTTCTCTGATTTGGTTAAAACACAAAAAAAAAAATTATAAGCAAATCAGAGAAATTTCAAACACACAGAGAATTGTGTCAATGTTGAGTCATACATGTATTGGGGACAATATGGTTTTCATGTCTACAGTATAGTTTCCGTTTTTGAGGAATGTTTCTTTGATTGGTTATGCTTTAGATGACCAATTTGCTAGTTTTATGTACAAAATAAAATTTTCTCCAGACTGTGTGAATTTTCTCTGTTTGTAATTTTGTGAATTTTCTTTGACTGTGTGAATTCTCTCTGGCTATATGAATTTTTTTTGATTGTATGAATTTTCTCTGACTGTGATCACTGTGTGAATTTTCTCTGGTTGTGGTCACTGTTTGTAATTTTGTGAATTTTCTTTGGTTGTGGTCACTATATGAATTTTCTCTAGCTATGGTCATTGTGTGAATTTTCTCAAGCATTGTGGGATTGTGAAGTGTGTAGAGAAATTCTAAACCTGAACACACAAGCACACTCAGTGAAATTCTAAGGGGATTCTGATGTGTCCAAAGAAACTTTAAGCATGGACACACAAACACACTCAGGGAAATTTCTCTAATTTTGAAATTTCTCTGAAAAAATGTTAAGGGATCCTAGCTACTATGAAAATATTGCATGTCATTTATCCTATAAAATCCTAATACCAAGGATTTTAAAAAAATTTCCCATATTTTTAAACTTCTAATTTTAATGACATGTCATAATTGAATCCTAACACTTCTTCCAAAGGTTATTAAAAAACAAAAAAGAAAGACAATATATATATATATATATATAATAATGCAATTTGTGGTATTGCCCAATGTTAATTTTTAAATGTTTTGTTGTTGATTTTTATTATGAGTGTTTGCAAAAATTATTCAGTGTCAATAATAGTGACAATGTTGATCCATTTGGGTCTCACAGATTTGAATGATGGTAATGAATTTGTGATATTGCCACGTCACTATTGTGTTTGTTATAGTATTAAAGATCGAAAAATTTTGTAAGTCCTAAATTTTCTACTAAATAAATGATCAAATATCTGGTATTCCTAGCATTACCCTTAAAGATCATTGTTTATTTTTTTTATATTTTAAATAAAAAATATTTTCAAAATATTTTTAAATTTTTTATGAGCTTTGAATAGAAGTTTGAGTTGTGTGTTTGGATATGAATTGTAAGTTTTTTAATCAAATAACTTTTTTAATTTCAAAACTCAAAACTCCCTTTAAAACTTTTTTCAAAACTCATAACCAAACAATTTTTTTTTTTACAAATCATAATTCCAAAACTTACAAACTCAAAATATAACTCTATTCTCAAGTCATAATTCTAAATCTCTACCAAGCGTTACCTACCTTTTTTTTGGTAGTACAATTATTACATTTAAAAAAAAATTAATTTTCTAAAATTACCCTTTGATAGTAATTTTTTAGAGAATATCAATTGTCATAATTGTATTTTTTATGTTGTTAATGAATTTAAAAGAATGACAAAATAGAAAATTCGTATTATTTTGGTTTTTGATTTTTGAAAAGAGACTGATATTTTGGGATAATCAATAATAAAATAAGGAACTAATATTTTGAGACAGAAAAAACATTTATTTTAAAATATTTTATAATTTTTTCTATTATTTTCAATACACTTTTTATATTAATACCAACATTAAACAAAATCCAACATAAAAACACTTGTTTACATTTTGCCATCATAATTGCATACGTTGTAATGAAAATCACCATTAGATTATGAATAATGTTATATGTATTAATTAATATATTAATACATGATATGGCATAATTTTAAAAATTTATAATTTATATAATAGATAGAGTCAGTATATAAATATAATAGATAGAGTCATATATTAATTAGTACATTAATACATGATATAACATACATGATGTGTAAATTAATTAATACATATAACACCATTCTATTCTTATATTATTACACTATTGGTGAGATTATCTATCTGAATTCATATCGAGATCATTATGATAATTTCTTATATTATTACACTATTGGTGAGATTATCTATCTGAATTCATATCGAGATCATTATGATAATCAATCCCAGATACATTTTCCATTTTTGGGAAAGTCCGAGGATAATTAATTAACAAAAAGGGGTACCCACAACACCTAAACCATTTTAATTTTCCAAAAGAAGAAAAAACAAGAATTGATGATGATGATGATATCTTGATGATTGTGAGTCTTCTAAATTTGGAGTATCGTCTCGATCGAGTAGGAGGCGGAATCGGCCCCATGGTGGCACACATTTAACCAAATAGAAACCCCATCAACCTCCCACACAATCCCCACAATGCTGCCCATCACCATCCTCTTCTCCTCCTCCACCACCGCCACCGCCGCCGCCGCCGCCGTGAATCCATGGGTGTCTCCTCCAGAGCCTACCGTCGCTCCCAATCCTTCCTCCCTCGCTCCGCCCCTCTCCTTGCTTTCTTCTTCCTCGCCGCCCTCGTCCTCTTTGAGGTCTCTCTCTCTCTCTCTCTCCACATATATATATATATTTGTATATTTGAGGTGTTTTTTATCGTTTTATTTCATTGTGTCATTTAATCGAACACGTGCTGACTATTGTTTTTGTTCTATTTGATTAAGTTATTTGATTGGGGTATTTGATCGAACAATTGGTGACTGTTGCCTTTTGTTTTATTTCATTGAGTTCTAATTGATTGGGGAATTTAATCGAACAGGTGGACAACTTTGCGTCCCAGACGAAAACTATTGTAGGCCACAACTTAGAACCCACGCCATGGCATCCCTTCCCTCCCAAGAACTTCAACGAATCGAGCCGATACTCTCGGGCTTCCCAAATCATACAATGCTCGTACCTCTCGTGTAGAGGCAACACCAATGATGATGATGATGATGAGCTGAGACAAAACCAAACTCAATTGAGAGGTCAAACTGGGGTATGCCCTGAATTATTTAGATGGATACACCGGGACCTTGAGCCGTGGGCTCAGTCTCGGATTTCAATAACCCACGTGATGGAAGCCAAGAAATATGCTGCATTTCATGTGGTGATTGTTGGGGGGAAACTATATGTGGATTATTATTTTGCTTGTGTGCAAAGTCGAGCAATGTTCACGGTTTGGGGCTTGTTGCAGCTCCTTAGGAGGTATCCTGGGAGGGTCCCGGATGTTGATATTATGTTTGATTGCATGGACAAGCCCAGCCTTAATCGGGAGGAGCATCAATCGAGGCCTTTGCCATTGTTTCGGTATTGTACCACGCCTAATCACTTTGACATCCCATTTCCTGATTGGTCTTTCTGGAGTTGGTAAGAACTTCAAATCCTTATTTTGAGTGCATTTAATTTTTGTTTAAATGTCTAGACTATATGTATAGGATAGTTGTAGTGGTACTAACTTTAATGTTGATGGTTCTGCATTTGATATTTTGTCATGTTCATAGCTTTGGCATAAGCACAATTTGTACCTTTTCCATTCAGAATCTGAATGCTTCAAAATTTGTCTCCATTAAATTCAATATTGTCATAATTATAGGCATCAAAAAGAGAAGAGAACAAAGAAAAAGAAAAGCAAAAAAAAATGATACAACCAAACAGCAATATTGCTGTAAACCAGTGTGAACAAAAGAGATATTTCTAAATGCTAATCATAAAATGGAATTGAATATTTAGCACCATTTCTCTTTTTTAATTTTTTTCTCTATCCCCAGATGGGGTAGTATGTGTAAGATTGGGATGGTGAATCTAAGCTTCTATTCTCTGAGTTGGAGACCAAATATGTGGCCACACTTATTTTCAAAGGGGTCTGAGGGTTCATACCAGGAACAACATATCATGTATTTCAAATCGCCATGCCTCATGATGCTTTGCTAATGGGACTCAAGATCAATGCCTCAAGGGCTAATTTTAGAAGCAAACAACTGAAATTTGTGCATATGTTTTGCACATCTTGTGGCTTGTGTCATAGATGCATTGAAAGATATTGGTGCCACAAAACCACAAATAAGTTTCTCTGTCCTTTTCTGTGTTGTTTTCTGAGATGAGAATTTATGGCATTAATTGCAACAATGATAGCTCCTGTATTGGAGTGTGATGGTGGAAAAATTTTACATGGTTGCCTTTCTTCTTTCACGTTTTCTCTAACTCTCTGATGCGCCCCTTCATACACGTTTTTTGATGTATTATTCAAAATTACACCCTAGCTGTACAGGTTTTTCCCTGTGAAACTTGTGTATTTGCATGCTCTAAAGTTTATAGGTTTACTATTGGCAAACATTTTTAACATACATCAAACTGACACCTGAGAAGCTATACAAAGATTGAAATATAATGGGAGCCAAACATGGCAAGAATAGGGTAAATATACCTATGGTAAAGGCTATGATTAATTGTTCTACCATGAGGTTAGTTATTTGAGTCTTAATTAGAAAATAAGGGTGTGTCAGTGGCACATAGACACATTTGAAGTTTTTGATACCTTGTTTATGTCTCGGCTTTTTAAATATCACCACTATAAGGACCAAAAGGTCCTGATGCTTGGTTTATGTCTTTACTTTTTGGTCTTTGCATTTGAGTTTTTACTTGCATGTAACAACATTGGCATAAATGATGTCTTCAGGCCAGAGATCAATATAGGACCTTGGGATGAAGAATTTAATAGCATCAAACAAGGTTCACGATCTCGGAGTTGGCGAAATAAGTGGCCAGTAGCATACTGGAAAGGAAATCCAGATGTTGCTTCTCCTCTTCGTGAAGAGTTGCTAACATGCAATCACTCTAGGTTGTGGCGAGCACAAATTATGCGTCAGGTTGATAATTTATTCATCATTTTGGACTCCTTTTTGGAAAATTAAAGTGAATTTGATGCCAATTTAAGTCATAAAAATTCAAATATTTGATTTTCCCTTACAATTATGAATTACAGGATTGGCTCACAGAAATTAAAGAAGGGTTTGAGAAATCCAAATTATCAAAACAGTGTGATTATCGGTAAGTTTCTTTTCCAAATGTGATCTCATGTTACTGACAACTAAGGTAACATCACGGATTTGGGGGTTGTCTATGTTGCAATTGGTTCAAGGATATATTTGGATGATTTCAGTGAAAATAAACTGAGACTTATCAAATTTGATATATTCTTTTTTTCTTTTTTCTTTTTTTCTTTGTCATGAATAAATAAAGAGGAAGAAGGAAAAGAAATTTATTGCTTTGAAGTTTTTTGTTTCTTTCTTTTTATTACTATGTTCTTGCGTGAGTTCTGATATGATTGCTGATTTTATGGTTTCTGAACATTATCTTAAACATTCAAAAGGGTATCATCATTGCCGTCTTCTAAATTTTGTTGAGGCATTAAGCTGCTAAATAGGCCTGCAACCTGAGACCTTAACCAATCTAATTGGAGGGTCCTGATGATTCATCTTGGGGAGTGAATCAGCGAAAACCAAGTGTTGTACCATAATAGAAATTTGTTCAGTGACTGGTATGACTTGATGTAAGAGTATCCTTGCTAGGACTCAACAAGTTTTGCACTCTTTGCTTGATGTTAGATTATTAAAAGGTTGTAGGGTGCAGTGCAATTTATTGCCCATTATTCCCTGAGTGGATAGTGCTTGTCTTAAAGTTTTTATTTTTATTATGGTAGTATCTTTATTTTTATTTTTTTTCCAGCACTTGTTTGAAAATTAGGATGTTTGTTTTTTGTTTACGCAGGTATAAGATCTATGCTGAAGGCTATGCTTGGTCCGTGAGCTTGAAATATATTCTGTCATGTGGTTGTCTTCCCCTAATAATATCTCCTCAATACGAAGATTTCTTTAGTCGTGGTCTCTTTCCGAAGAAAAACTATTGGCCTGTCTCTTCTACTAATTTATGCCCCTCTATAAAAAATGCTGTTGAATGGGGTAATGCACACTTAGATCAGGTATGGTTTCACCGTTTCTTACCTCATGTTTACACACTTGATTCATTTTATTTGTCCAGACTAACTGGTCTAACAAATTAGTTACAGTCAGTGCTGGCTTCTTAGCTGGCCTGAAGCCAAAAATAGATTGTTTTAACCTATTAAGTTTGCTTGCTAAATCTATCTCTATAAATTTTAATAGTGTCATAAAGAGAGACTCTATTAATGACTGCCACAGCAATTGTGAGAACATAAGTTACTATTATTTGTTCATCTACATTATTACGAGGCCAGTTCAATTTTTAACGGACACAGAAAAAGCGAGGGAGAGAGAGACCTATTGAGAACCAAATTGGTCACTGGAAAGTCCTTACTTTCTAAAAAAAAAGAAGAATTCTTTCACTGGAATGATTTTATATGCATGCCAAACCATGCCTCATGTTTGCCTTCACTATCCATCTTTCTTCCTGTTGTTAAGTAGTTGCTCCACTGTGCGGTATATTAGTTTAGGTGATGGGTGTTGTTCCTGATTGGGTTTGTATTTCAACTTGATAGTATATTACAATATGGTGATATTTGCTGAAATAATCAGTAGTAGTACATGTACAAAATCATATTGATTATGAAAAATAAACAAAGAAATAAAAGGAAAGACTTATTTTTTAATGTGAAATGGAATGTTCCCATTCTCATTTCAGTCTTCTAACTGCTGCCCAATCTTCTAAACTTCCTTGATAGTTTTGCATTTCATTTATCAATATCAAGAAGAGCAAGTCAATTGTTATTTTTCACGTTTCCTAAATTTGGCTGAACAGGCTGCAGAAATAGGAAGAGGATCACAGGATTACATGGGAAGCTTAAACATGGATCGGGTTTATGATTATATGCTTCATCTTATCACGGAGTACTCAAAACTGTTGGAATTCCTGCCTGTCCCACCTTCATCTGCGCTGGAAGTGTGTGCTGAATCCCTGCTTTGCTTTGCTGACCAAATGCAGAGGCAATTCCTAGAAAGGTCAGCTTCCTCACCTTCGCCATCCCCCCCATGTACACTCCAGCGTCCTAATAGGAATATTATCAATAGATGGTTAGAAGAAAAGAATAAAATTATTAGGGACGTGCAAATTTTTGTGTAACCGAAAAGTTTTAGAAATAGAGACTGAAAAATGAGGATGTGCCACGTGGCTGTTACAGAATAAAACCACATTTACAGTTCTTCAATTGATTGCACTTCGAAAGTGAAGTACTTTACAGTGACTCTATTTGTATGTAGCATCAGTGTTCCTCAGTGGATCTTAGCTCTATAAAGTTATTTTTCTTTCTGAAATAAGTGGTTCTTTCATGTGCTGAGAATCTTCAGTTTTGTAGAGTAATGTTGTTCAACTTTAACTTCTTCTTTTCAGAAATATGAGCAGTTCTGAAACGAAAAATACCTTTTTTCCCAACAAAAAAAAAAAAAAAATTTGTTTCTTTTGTTGCACCTCGTTCTTTCTTTATAACATGGAGGGTTCTTTTTCCTTGGATGCTTTGGGGTGTTCCAAGTCGATGCTTCTTGCTAATGGGAATAATGAATTCTGAGTTTGGGTATTGGATGTGTGGACCTACAAAATTCAAGATCCAAACACAGCGGAAGTGCTTTTTGGAAGAAAGTAGAAATTTGTTGAAAAAATTCTCAATGGCAGGCATTCTTTAAATTGTGGTCAAATTTTGGTGAAAATGGTGAATAACTTAAATGTGAATTGGTTTGAATGACATTGGCGAATATGAGTTTTGTTGCACAAATTTTCTTCATTCCACATGCTAAATTTTCTCTTCTTCATTTTTCTTGCTCTGTTTCGAGAGGGATAAGAACTTTATTTCACAGCAAGATTGGTCTTGTGCTTCACATTACGGCATCTTGCTGTAAGAAATGGCTTGGAAAAATGGTTTGAAAAAAAACGGATTTTTTTTTTAAACTTTGGTCTATTTTTTAAGTGGGAACCATGCGCCAAAATTTGCGGGTCCATGTGACAACGCATTCTTTGCCGCGTAACGATTCACGTTGTATATTTGATTGCTCAAAATCATTATGGGGTAAATGAAAAATCGATGTCAAAATGAGTTCTATGAAAATAGTGTTTTGGTGAAATTTTCATAAAGGATGTAGTTAAGATTTGTCCCACATTTCTTTGGTGGGCAAATTTGGTGTGAGTTTATAAGCTTTAAGTTTGCATGTTAGAGAGGGCCCCAAGAGGTACCCAAGTTTTGTTGAAGGGTTGGAATTGTCCGGCTCAATGTTTATCTTTTTGGGCTAAAAACATTTAAATTTATTTATTTATTTCTAAAATTAAATTCTTACCATTTGGAATTTAAAATTCAAAATAAATTCTGAAATGACCCCAACGTTCAGAAACGTTGGCAGTTTGGTCCAACACAACTTTCCCTTCAACCCGAACAGGTGCTTTACCTGTTCAAATCCAACCCAAACAAAGTCTTTGCCTGTTCAAAACTGTACCGAATAGGTTCCATGCCTGTTCAACTCTGTCCTGAATAGCCACCAAGTCTCCTATAAATAGACAAGTCCTCCATTTGGTTTAATCCAATTTTCGTTCTTCTTTTTTGCTTTTACTTTCTACATTTTGCTACATAAATTTTCTATGAGAAAGAGTATAAACACAGAGTGTGTTCGTTGGGCAATTAGTCAGTAGTGTTACTACTAGTTGTCGCTGATCAATTTATCCTGGGAGATAGACGTTCATAATCTGAAAGTACCGTGGAGAGGATGAATCTGTTTTAAGGACATAATGTTCAACACTGGACTTGATCGAATTTTCTGAGAAGATAATACTATAAGTATTTAGTTTGATTTTCTATTTTTCATTATTTTATTTTTACAAATTCTGTTTTGCTTCTGTAATAGAATAAGAATCTGGTTTGTTCTTATTTTTGTTTCCATCTCTATGTTGATTTGTGTAATCAAACAGAATATCTCATTTCTTGATTTTCTTTCTTTGAATACATTGAAGATTGTCTAACACTTGCAACTTCCCTAACATGGATTGCAAAAAATAAACTTGTGTCCTAGTCCATACTAGTAAATTGTTATTTCAACTCAAATTAAGAGCATCTTCAACAATAGTCCCTAATTTTTTTTCAAATTTTAGTCAAAAAGTATCTTTTCTATTTTAGGGAACCACTTTTTAAACTATTATATCCAACAATACTTCTTATTTTTTCTCTATATGTTTTTTAAAAATAATTTTCTTTATCATTTTTTATTAAAAATATTTTTCTAAACTTTATTCTCTTTCTTCAACCATTTGAGAAAAAGAGGAGGGATGGGAGAGAGAGTAATTTTTGGGTAATACTAGGGATATTAAATTTTTTACCAAATAAATGACCAAATGTCTCACCTCATACCCATGTGAGATATTTGGTCATTTATTTGATAAAAAATTTAGGACCTATAACATTTTTCTTAATTTTTTAATTATAGTTGAAGGCTCCTTTAATGTATGAAGCCAAAAGTTTACCCTCTTAAATAGGAAGTGGAGGGATTAAGGGTTACTGTTGTGCTAAAAGTACATTAGTGACGGTTGTATCTCAATTTGAAGTGTATTATGGGCTTATTTTTATAATTCGAACTGTTCATTTTTTAAGGTTTGTTAAGTATTTCGTGCCTACCAAAAATCATATTAATCGGATATCAATAACTATAAGAAAAATGTAGTTATTGATATCCGATAACTATGCAATTCGATCATATAGTTATTGATATCCGATTAATATGATTTTTGGTAAGCATGAAGTACTCAACAAATCCTATAAAATGAACGGTTTGGATCATAAAAATAAGTCCATAATACATCTCAAATTGAGGCACAATAGTCACTGTTGTGCTTTTAGCACAGCAGGGACCCTTAATCCGAAGTTGAGTAAGGAACCTATTAAAAGAATTTATTTTATATTTGACTCTCTAAAGCAGAAAAAAAGTGAAAATAATGAGCCTATTGGGTTGGTTTGGTAAGGGCTCATTGGGTTTTTTTGGCTCAATGAGCCATAAAAGACAGAATAGGCTCATGAGCCACAACAGACAAAACATCTCATCCAACTCCATAATCATTACACTTTTCTCTTACAAAAAAAAGAAGCCAAAAAGCGAAAAACCCTTCCCAAACTAAGCTTTTGAGCCTCATATAGTCAAAAAGTCAAAAAGCCAACCCACTTCCCAAACGGAGGCTGAAAATGCTCTAACATGAGTTTATTTAGATTGGGTTAAAAAATTGAAATTAATCAATATCATTTGATTCTGGGTTTGTCTATAATTCCAATCCAAACCAAACTAGACTAGTGTTTAACTCCAAACTTTAATCACAACACACACTATTTGTCGCATATCTCATAAAGGGAAACTTTCTTACACTTGCAAATAAATAAATAAATAAATCACCATCAAATGCAAATCAGTTGAAAAAAAATTAAAGAAATAAAAAGAGCTAATAATATTGCAAGTAGGAGGAAAGCGATGGATGCAGATTCGTTTGAAGTGGAAGAAAATAGCTGACAAAATGGTGAATTTGTCCTCACTCCGATCTCTCTGTATGTGTGTGTCTCTCTCAATGTGTGCGTGTTCATCTATGCAACGACGCAGTTTTGTGTGGAAGCCAGAACAGATTCGAAATGGCCACACAATTTTTGTGAGACTGTTAGCAAAATTCTGGTTTGGATGAAATTGATAGGGAAATATTGATGGGAAAATTAAAGTAGTGTTTAGTAGAGATTTTTTAAATATGATTTAAAAATAGAGTTGTATTTTGAATTTGTGAGTTTTGGAATTATAATTTGAGTGTAAAAAATTTGTTTGGTTATGAGTTTTGGAGAGAGTTTTGAGTTTTTGAAATTAGAAAAAGTATTTGATTCAAAAACTTACGACTCATAACCAAACACATAACCTAAAGTTCTATTCAAAGCTCATATAAAAATTAAAAGAATTTCGAAAATAATTTTTATTTACAATATAAAACAAGTGCAAAAAAAAACAAAAAAAACCGAACCAATCAACCGGCCGGACGTCCGGGAGACATCTAGGAGAACGACCGGATTAGTCAAATTTTCCCGCCTGAAAAGGAGTTTTCAAAAGTAGATGTAAAATTATAATTTGAAAGCTCAAAACAAACACCACACTCAAATCAGTGGGTGAAAATGTGTTTGGAACACATAACCAAACACAACCTAATTTTCATAAACACAAAAATAGATCAAGCAATGTGGTTGGTGCTCTATACCTTGACAGTTTCAAGGAATTCTTAGGAGGCTATAATGTAAAGACAAATACAAACAGACTGAAATTCAATTGAATAACACTTAAACTTGTCACTTAATTACAAAAATCTAATTACAAGTTCAAATAAGATTACAATCGACAGGGCCAAACTCTATACAAAAACTGAATTACAGATGAACTACTCTTAAATTAGGATAGACTACTCTTAGATAAGTTACACAACTCCTAGATTTCACATGAATTGCGAATTTAGTTGAAAGTAATTTCTTCTTCGAATTTCCAACTTTTATATGATTTTACTGGTTATGCCATACTGCCACGTGTCCATTTACTGGCTCTCTATATCTATCCATAAGCTGTATCTGTCTTGAATTCTCATTCTTCTTGAAGCGGCCATGTATCACATCCTCAATCTCTTTTCCTAGGCTACTAATTTAATACCCTTAATTTTTGGACCTCTTCTGTACAAGTTTATACTTCTATGACAAGATTTTTTAAATTTATAGTGCCTAACAGATTGTCAAAAAAAATGCTTCAAAATTAATTTAAAGTGATAAGTATGCGGGCATGCTTGGCTTTGGAACAGAGTCAGGTGGATTTGTGTGACTGCTCTTCCCAAGTGCCACGTCTCAGTTTTGGTCACCCTACAATTTTACAACCCCTTTTTGGCCTCTTTTGGATTGGTTTATTTGGTTTTTTATTTTATCAGTTTTAATTAAAATCTGGTGATTATTGAGTAGTTTTGGGATGTTATTTTACATTATTTATCACGGGACATTTATCAATATATTTTTACAAATTCAATAAAAAAATAATAAAAAAAATTATTATTTTAATCAATAAAATACAAAATTGGGCCGGCTGATATTTTTGTCCATCTACTCCATGCCTCCCCACCTCTCCATACTTTCCACATCATCAATTTCAGAGCACCTAATGCTGTATTGGTTATATTTTTTTATTTATTTTATTTTACAATGAGATATTATTATGTTTTTAATAAATATCATATATGATACGCTGAATAAAATATAATTAAAAAATATAAACTATCAATTATTATTATGAAAGAAATAGAAAAAGTTAGCCCAGCTCACATTAGAGCATCTCCAACCCAATCCTCTCACCAAGAGAATGAAAATAAATTTTTATATTTAGAAAGTAAATATAGGGCTCTTTTGGGAAAGGCTGAAAACGCTAGGTTGGCGTTTTGGAGCAAAACGCAGAGTTGCGTTTTTCGGCTCATTTGGCAAGTAGAAAAAGTAGGTTAAGAAATTACATAACATCTTATGGATTTGGGTCAAATGTAATTTTTTTAAGTTTGGTGAGGTTATTTTAGTCATTTTGGTGTGATGTGACACCATAAATAAATATTAACTCAAAAAAAAAAGTAACTTTTTACCAATTTTCCAAATCACTCCAAAAAAGTTTGGTTAAAAGCAAAAAAGTCACTTTTTACCATCTTCCCAAAACAACCCATAGAGGATGATACTATTTGTCCAAACTCCAACCACAAACCTTTATTTTCTTCTCTAAATATTTCCCTCCAAATTCACCATTAGTTTTCCCTTCATCTATTTTCCTTACAGCAATGCGTGGATTGGTTGCTACCAGACGTCTGCCGGGAAGTCCGGGCGGATGTCCAGCCGGTCAAGAGCCAAATTTATTTTTTTTTGTTTCCTTGTTGGGCATTTTTTTTAAAAAAAAACATTAACATATACACATAATACATTTAATATTAGACTCATTTTAACATTAACTTCTCACCAAGAGGATACTTTAACAAAAGTTAATTTTTAATTTTTTGTTAAATATATTTAATATTGAACTCATTTTAAAGATAAAATTTTAATATTTTTAATGATATCAAATTTTAAAAATTTAGATGTACATATTAAAAGTTATTTGTATTTTATAGCATATAACAAAAAATACAAAAAGATATAATTGATATATAAAACATCATCCTTTTGTATTTAGAGCATGGATTGGAGTGAATTTTTTCACAGAATCCTCTATATCCTCCTCCATTTGGGAGGATGGATGTTTCATCCTTCAAATTTGAAGGGAGTATGAAAAATGAAGGATCGTCTCTATAACACTATTCATATTTTTTAAATACTAATTTTGTCCTCAAGCCCTTTTGTTTTTAAATTTATATATCAATTATATCCTTTTGTTTTTTTTGTTATATGCTATAAAATACAAATAACTTTTAATATGTACATCTAAATTTTTAAAATTTGATATCATTAAAAATATGAAAATTTTATCTTTAAAATGAGTTCAATATTAAATATATTTAACAAAAAATTAAAAATTAACTTCTGTTAAAGTATCCTCTTGGTGAGAAGTTAATGTTAAAATGAGTCTAATATTAAATGTATTATGTGTATAAGTTAATGTTTTTTTAAAAAAAATGCCCAACAAAGAAAAAAAAAAAAATTGGCTCTTGACCTGCCGGACTTCCCGACGGACGTCTAGTAGCACCCAATCCACGCATTGTTGTAAGGAAAATAGAGGGAGGGAAAATTAATGAAGGGAAAACTAATGGTGAATTTGGAGGAAAATATTTAGAGAAGAAAATAAAGGTTTGTGGTTGGAGTTTGAATGAATAGTATCATCTTCTATATTTACTTTTTGAATATAAAAATTTATTTTCATCCTCTTGGTGAGAGGATTGGGTTGGAGATGCTCTTAGTGTGTTCTTTCCATCCTAATCCTACCGATCGCCGAACCAACCAAAGCCCACCATCTATCCCTCTTATAAGTTTCTTGTATGCTGAGCAGAAAGCGGTACTGTTTGTTTGCTTGTTCAGCTGATCTCACCCTTGGCTGCCTTCACATTTGTTCGCACTGGTGTGGATTCAATGGCTTCTACAAGTTTCCTCTATTTGGTGTACCTCAATTTTATAATCTTGGAGCACCTCTCTCTTTGTAGAAGAATTGGTTGGGCAACATTTAAATTTCGCACCACCATCTTCTTGCTCTACCTGTTGGCGATATTCCTGCTCATTGCTTGTCTTCTACTGAGATGTTCATGCCTGATTTGTATGTGTTTTCGAGCTTGTTAATGTGTGGAGAAATTATGCATACCAATTGTTTGACAATATGCCTGACTAAAATAACTCATAAATTCTCTTCGTGGCAAAGCCTCTTCCTAAGATTGCAACAAAAGTTTGTTTCAATTAATTTTTCAAATTCATTTGTTCTTGGGTAGATAGAGTTTGTAATGTGTTTTGATATTTGGTTTCTCTACAGATAAAAAATGATCGAGAAGCGCCTCGCAAGTGGCCAAGTCAAAGAGCTCATCGAAGAGGCCCAGGACAAGCTCAAACTCATCACTAAGATGTTCCGTATGTATATTTCAATACTCTCTGTCTTCATTTGCTTTCTCTTTGCTTTTGAATACATCGGTATCATTACAAGTAGAACCAATATCGAATATGGAGCTTCAAATTTTATGCAAGTGTTCAAGAGAATAGGATTTGAATCCTCTAATTGTAGATTAGGTTGTTCTTCGTGTAAAAGGGAAAAGCAATTTGAAAGTTCTGTAAAAAAAAGTTAGTTTGAAGATTTTTTAGTCGTTTCAATTTTGACAGTTAAACATATCTAACTAGCTATGTATAAAATATTCAATTCTAAAATTATTTGATTCTCATTTTCAGACAACCAAACACGCTCTTGGTTTTTCATTGCATAGAACTTGAATTAAACAAGATTGAATATGTTCTTATTTTCTTTTAGTGATATTTGCTTCTTGTTTAGTGATATTTCTCGGGAAATGTAAATTTTGACTGTATATTTGTGCTTATACTTATTTAGTTATCATTCTCAATTATGCATTTGTTGTAGGACAATCTTTACTGTATTTGAAAAATTATTTCTGTTGTATACTTAACAACAAACAGAATATATAAGAAATAAAGGAACGGAGAGAAATTGTTTGATTACAAAAATCAAACCAGGAAAATAAAATAAAAAATTGATTACAAAAATCAAACCAGGAAAATAAAATAAATAAATAAAAATAGATTTTTATTTTGTAACAAAAACAAAATCAAAATCTGATTTAAATAATTAAATAAAACAGAAAATAAATAACCAACTTACTTGATTAATTTCTTGAATAATATTCTGATCAAGTCCAGTGTTCAACACTGTGTCCTTAAGACAGATTCGTCATCTCCACAGTGCTTTCAGAATACGGACGTCTATCTCCCAGGATAAAATGATCAATCAACGAATAAATACAGCACTACAATTTATTCCTACGACGAACACACTAAGTGTATATGCTCTTTCTCACAGAAAACTAATGCAGCAATATGAAGAGAATAATAGCAGAATTATTAGGGACGAAAATATTGAATGAATTCATCAAATGAGAGCTGCCTATTTATAGATGGATTGGTGGCTGCTGGTTTTGAATTAAACAGGTACTGAACCTGTTGGGTTTGAACTGGTACTGTTTGGAGAGATAACTGAATCTGTTTGAATTTGAAAATTAAACAGATTTGAAATCTTTTCAGGTGGAACAAATCCGGTTTGGACAGAATTTCTGAAGAGGCACATTACAAAATTTGAATTTAATTTACAACCAGAATTTTGAAAAAAAAAAACGGACAGATTTTATTTCAAAATAAATAAAATAAACTCAAATGTTTTTTGCCCAAAAAAATTAGTATTGTGCAGAACAAGCCTAACCAGACGGACAGCGGCGACACGCGTGTGGTAATTTTTGGGTCCCATGGGTCTAGCCCATTTTGTCCATAACCTCCTTCTCTACAAAACTTGGGTACTCCTTGGGGCACACCCCAAGTATCAATCCCATGCCTTATAAACCCACTCAAAATTTCCCACCAAATCAATGTGGGACAAGCCATTATACACACCTTAAGGATTTTCCACCAAAACTCCATTTCCATGGAACATACTTTGGCTTCAATTTCCAATTCACCCCATAATGGTTTTGAGCAACCAAATATACCATGTCATTCACAACGCGGCAAAGAACGCGTTACCACTTAGACCCGCCAATTTTGGCGTATGGGTCCCACCTAAATAATAGACCAAAGTTAGGAAAAAAATTCTGTTTTTACCCAGAATTTTTCCAACCATTTCTAACATTTGTTTCTTGATGATCATTTTCTGCATTTCTCTGTTAGTCTGTTTGTTTTCTTTTTGATGAGAGTTGACATTTTAAGGCCAAAAAAAGTTTTGGGTTATCCTTAATTTAAAAATCTAATGTGTCCCTATATGAGATTGAACCAAAGCAATTTGTATGTATATTTCTTTATATATATGAGATTGAAACAATTTTGCTCCAAATTAGGAAACTTTGCCTTACTAAATGTTAGTTTAGAATGTTTTTCCAAACCGGTAGACTGGTAGTGTATAAACTGTTTTTGTTGAATTGAAAAAACAGCCCTCAAGCAATTTTGGAAGATCCATTCAGGAAGGGAAACAATATATTGGTGAGTTAGTGCATTCATGTAGTTCATTGGAATGGAGTAGTCATTCCATCAGAATAATCATCTCATGTTTGTTTCGGTACAAAGGAAAGGAATTTAACATTGGAAATAAAAGCACCATTCACCAATTTAGGAGAATTGTCATTCCATTGGAAGGCCAAGGAATAGTCATTTCATTCCTTCCTTAAATTGTTCCAATGAATGAAACATTTCCTCAATTCATTTGGGTTTTGGGGCACTTTCATCGTGAAATCTTAAACAATGTGTGAAAAAAGTTTTGTTGTGCTGTCTTTCTCATTAATCATTATTGTCTTAGATCATCTGTGATGCTTGCACTCCTGCTGGTGAACCATTTCCAACGAACAAGAGGCACCATGCTGAAGAACCATGGTAAAGGATTTCAAGCTTTTCAAAATATTGTCAAAACTTAATTGAAACTTTTGTTTGAGTATCTTTGTCCGTTTAATTTTTGGAGGCTGTAATTTATTTTGAATTTTAATTTTAAAATAGGCATGGTATTGAGCAAGAGTACACCTTGTTGCAAAAAGATGTTAAGCGGCCTATCGGGTGGCCAAAGGGAGGTTATCCTGGACCTCAGGTAATGAAATTGATACTTTTTTCCGAATATCAACTGTTAGAATAAATGTATAAAAATAAATAGAGAATTGTATTATTGAATAATGTATGCTTGTTGTGTATCTGCATTTACAAGAGAATTAGGTCTCTCTATTTATAGAGAGGAGAAAGATACAATGGAGTACGAAGGCATAAGGTAAGATATTACAATAATATAAAAGTGTAATCTAAAGCTTTGCTGGTAGTGGGTGTTGGCCTCCTTTACACCTTTGCTGGTTCCTAATGCACATGTACATTACAGCTCCTAATGCACATGTACAGCTATGAAAGTATAAGGTATATTATATGTTAACAGCCCCCCTCAAACTCAAGGAGGATAGGTACTAGCCAACTTGAGTTTGGAGAGAGTAACAAAACAGAAAGATAAGCTGACAAATAAAATTAAAAATGGGATAGGAGACACTGTATGGTCGTGTCGGACCGTTGTAGCAGACAGTTTACGGGGTCATGTCGGACCGTGGTAGCAGACACTGTGTGGTCGTGTCAGACCGATGTAGAAGACAGTTTATGGGGTCATGTCGGACCGGTGTAGCAGGACAGTTTACGAGGTCATGCCGGACCGTTGTAGCAGACACTGTGTGGTCGTGTCAGACCGATGTAGAAGACAGTTTATGGGGTCATGTCGGACCGGTGTAGCAGGACAGTTTACGAGGTCATGCCGGACCGTTGTAGCAGACACTGTGTGGTCGTGTCAGACCGATGTAGAAGACAGTTTATGGGGTCATGTCAGACCGA